TAGCCTGGAGGGGCTTGGGAAAGAATGAGGCAAGTGCAGTTGCTAAAGAAATCATTAATTTTGTGGTGGTGTTGTTTGAGTCTATAAAACAACAAAAAATGGATTTTTTTTTAGGACAGAGAAATTGGCTTTATCTCTTTATTCTTGTTTCCCTTGGAGATGTATAGAAAATTGCATTCACACTATCAAAAGACAAGCTTTTATTTGCCCATCAGTGATTCCAGATGGTTATGTTTAAAGCTTAAAGACAATATCTTATTAACATTCCCTCTATATCTATAGTTCAGCTAAACTGTAGCTTAGACTATTGCCATGGCCTACTAAAGGTCAATAGAGAAATAAACTGTCACTCTGACATGTATTTATTCCGATGTTCTGAAAGAAAATGATTGCAGCAGAAATTTTTCATTGTTACATTGTTCATTTCTCTCTTATATCTTTTCCAGTATGTCTAAAGTACTTAGTTAGTTTTAAGTGATCCTATGATGATATCCTTTAGATAATGTCATCCTTAAGATAAATCAAATAGGCAAGCCCATGACCATGCACACTACAATGGGTCAATTTCTCTTGCTAGATGAACACTTTGCTCTTGGTATAGTTTTCTGCCATTCTTTGGTCTCTCCCGTCTTTTCAGGAATGTTTCAAGCTTGCTAAGAAATGCTGGGCTTGACACAGTAACTTCTCTCTGCTGCCACCTCTCCAATGCTTTCTCCCAGGAGTGCCATTCTTAACACAAGTGTCCTAAAAGCATATTTATCCTTAAACATGAATGTAGCTTCCATTTGTGTATTGAAAATATTTCTAAACCTCTGCTCAATGGTTTTAAGTTTAAAAGTTCAAAATTAGAAAACTTCTCAATTCTCAAACGATTTGAACACATTTATACAATCCCACTTTTTCATTAGCCTAGGCCTTAATGAAAACCTGAAATGAGCATAGTTTCCTGCTGTCGATACTTTTATTATAAAAGATTTAATACGACACTCTGTACTATACATAACTATGATATATTTGTTCCAGAATTGTCTTCAATTCTCTATGCTACTCTTTTGGTTTTCCCTCTACTGTATCAGAGAATATCTACATCATGAGCAGGCAATGAAAAATTCTGTGCTAATTCCACGCTTTGTTAAACTTCTCTTCCCATAATTCATTCTCATCACTGCCTTTCCATAATATTGAGACACTTGGATTTTATCACATAAAATTTCTATTATTCAGTAAAACTTGCTTCTGTGAGAAAGAATGATAACTTCATTGATCATTTTGCAAAATATTAATAAAAATTCATTTTTTGTTTACTGTGTGCTAAATATACTTATAATCATATGAGGTAAATCTTACTGATCATATAGACTACTATAGGGTGAAAAACACAGAAGAGTTAACTAGTTTTCCAAGTTACTTTTCAAGGAACTGCCAACATAACACTCAGATCAAGAAAATCTATTCACAGAATTTGGACTCTTAAAACACAGAGCTGATAGTGTCATGATATATAATATCAGTAGCCTAAGGTTGTCTATGAAACTTGAAATAGTGTAACAATTTTTGAACTCAATAAGAATTTCAATGTTTAACAGATTTCTTATAACAGCTGGAGTATACTGAATTTAGATATTCAGTATACTAATTTTAATTCAGTATCTGAATTCAGTATCAAGAGTAGAAATGTTTAGGGACCATTTTGCAAGGTAGCATCCTTTAATGAAACCTATCTACTGGCTTCTTCTGATCAGTTTAGGGTTTAAAGTGAGTTCTCCTATCCTGATATTATTTGGTCCTGCTGGTGAGATTTAGTAAAACAGCTCTAATGCATCTGATGGGACTCAGAGATCCAGGTATGTCTAGCTTTTAACAGCTCATTTATACAGCCTTACATACAGTATGATATGTAAGGGATATGATATGAAAGATATAAACATAAATTCTGGTATTTCTAAAGTTGATGATTCTTACAAGTTTCTCAACCAAACCTAGGATATACTGTTATTATATCAGTGTAACTTTTATATTACATAGAGTTTTAGAAATTACCCCAACACAGTGAAATGAGCATGGAAAGCTTTACCCATCTAGTCATTATCCTCAAAATAAAGATACTCATGGAAAAAAGTCAGCATCTGAAAGTTTAATACACTGTCTCACAACAGAAATCTTTTAGAAATGTCGACTTCATTCCAAAAGGAGGAATTAATCGACATGGAAAATTTCCTTTCTTTTGGTTTCTGCATGTGACTACGAGAAGTCACAGTGGATCAAAGAAGTTTCAATGATACATAATTGAGTTTTTTAGGAAACTGGTCACATACCCTGAACTGTAAGAAAAGCTGACATCTGTGAACAATTCCTATTAGCCAAGAATAGTGCTAAGTGCTTAATTCAAAACATCCTGTTTAAACACCAGTTTACATATGAAAACCTCATGCATGAGGGTTTAAGAAATTGTTCCTTCACAGTTAGCAGCAACCATCAGAGACTAAAGGAACCAATGATACTTTTGTGAACACATGTTGATATCTATTTTTATACATTGGAAGATGATAGGCAAAAAATATGCAATATTTAGAATGGGTTTTGGCTAACCTAATTCACATGGGTTTTATTGAAAGCAAAGTAAATATATTTGGGAAAATTTAACATTGCATCCCCATGTTTCAATTAATGTGTCAACTGTAGTCATTCATTTATTTGTTTCATTGTGTGACTATGTTCTACTTCATAAATATGAACATTTTTTAGCAGACTTCCTAGTGTCTGCTGGGTTTCATGAATAACTTGTGTTTGTGAGAGCTTCTTAAACAGAGGCAGGAGAGAGATACATGTATACTTTAGGATATTATTATTTAAAATCGTTATGTCATAGGGAATGGAGACATTCATGTATAAATAAACATAACCAGTCAGCAGAAGATTTTTGTTTTTAAGACATATGCAGAAAACAGCAAAGCATAGTTACTGTCATGCCAATATTCCTTCCTTGAGCGTTTGCTGAGTTATACATTAAGCTAATTTGGAGTAGTTTAGATTCCTTGCTAAAATGTCGAGTACCAAACTCTTGATAAGCTTAAAATAAAGTTTACTCAGGATCTGCCTTTGTTCAACAGAGGCGCACAGTAAAAAAGATGGATCCATCTAAAAGTATTGAGAACAGAAAAGGCAGCAAAGAAACATTATTGAGGCATGAAGGAAAGCTATTTCAGCACTCTTGACTAGAGGGCAGACAAGTATGCATTCAAATGAGACTTCTTTGGGGTTAGAGGTTTTTAACAATAGGTCCTGATGATCAAAGCAGGGCAGAAGTATACTGCAATGATTTTTCATCATCAGACCAACTTGAGATTTCATTTTTCATGAAATTCTCCAATAAAACTATCTGTTCAATTTTTCACCTTCCCTCACAATAATTTTGATTTTCAAGAGGCGAAAGACTCACTGAAAAGCATTGATGAGTGGAAGAGCATCAGGACCCATGTTGTTCAGTGGATAATAGGAATACTCTAGAACTGTGAACAAAGTGATTAAAGAAAAGTTGACCTGAGTATTTTACAGTCAATCCCCATCACATGAGTGTGATGTAAGCTGACTGGATACAGAATATGACTTTTCCCCTAGTTTTCTTCCTTTTAATACATCTATACATCTATCACAATGTTGATCATGTGAAATCCCTACATAGGATATCTGTATATATGAGCAAATTGTTATTCAGCATATCAGACAAGATACAATATGACTTATTCTTAGTTCCAACAATCTGGGAATGGTGTATGCTTTTGCTTACTCACATTATATTATTACTGGAGCATGCAACACCAGTAAGACAAAACCTCACCATAGGCAAGCACTTCTTTTTTAGAAATATGCCTTAGGATCTCTCAGCTCTTTTAGTCACAGAGGCAGAGGGTGTGAGTGAGGAAAGGAAAGCAGCACAGAGTGTAGAAGTTATGAAGACTAGATAGAAAATGTCAGAAAGGAAAGGAGAATCATTGAGTAGAGCAGATTTAAAAGAAATAGTACAAGATGGATAGAAAGATTAGGGATGGTTGCTGGCCAGTGGTGGCGCACGCCTTTAATCCCAGCCCTTGGGAGGCAGAGGCAGGTGTATCTCTATGAGTTCAAGACCAACCTGGTCTACAAGAGCTAGTTCCAGGACAGGCTACAGAACAATATAGAGAGACCCTGCCTTGAAAAACCAAAAAAGAAAGAAAGAAAGGAAGAAAGGAAGGAAGGAAGGAAGGAAGAAAGAAAGAAAGAAAGAAAGAAAGAAAGAAAGAAAGAAAGAAAAAAGAAAGAAAGAAAAAGAAAGACTAGAGATGGCCAATTTCTGGGTCAGAGGAATTTTGAAAATCAATCTGAGTTCTGTTTCCTGGATGAAAACAACACTCATCCTAACTGGCTGAAGTGATTTGAAAGAAAATTGTCCTGATAACAAGTGACAGTATTAGGAGGTTTGGCTTTGTTGGAAAAGGTGCAGCCTTGTTGGAGGAAGTGTGTGACTGTGGACATAAGCTTTGAGGTCTCCTTTGTTTAAATTGCACTCAGAGTGATGCACAGTTGCTTCTGCTGACTGTGGATCAAGTTGTAGACGTCTCAGCTCCTTCTCCAGCACCACATCTGCTTGCATGCCACCCTCCATGATGATCAAACCTTTGGAAGTGTAAGGTAGACCGAATTAAATATTTTCCTTTATTAGAGTTGTAATGGTCAGGGTGTCTCTTCACAGCAACAGAAACCCTAACTAAAACACTTGGACAACTTTATAGGAGATAGAGAGCTCCGTATGCATCAATTAGCTAAGTGTATGAAGTAAAAAAATAGCTTTAGGAGTGTTCTAGTTGAGTCCCAATGGAACAAAATCTGCATTTTTTTTAGGAAGTGACAGGCTATGGTTTTTAATATGATACTAGATACTAAAGAATAGAAATATCATTTAGGTAATCCTGTCTAATTTACACTAAAACATTCATATTTAAAATATTTAGACGAATACTTACCCAACAGACAGGAATGGCTCCTTTGATTCAAGCCTATAAAATATGAAAATTTTATTTTAATATAACAATGTTATGTATTCACACATTGATTTTATATGAATGGGACAAAATACTATACTGGTTTGCATGGAAATATGTTTACAGTAGTAGAATTATATACAATATATATCTGCCTAATATATTATATATGATATATATATCTAACATATATGTAACATACATTATATGTGTTTTTATGTACATGTGTGTATATACATATGCCTACAATACCAAAGCTACATATTATTGTTCTAGTTGCATTTAGGGCAGCTGAAGCCAAAGCCTCAGACTAGGAATGCAACTTTTAAAGGCAGTATCACAGTGAGAGAGAGTCTAATTCTTAGGTATACTCCATATCCAACTGTTTTTGTTAATAGTGGCAGTTTAATTCTAGAAGTTTTAATATATCTACTTTTACGTATAAAAGTTGAGAAATCTATAGTGAATTTGGTTGGATATTGGCTGGGTAATTGACTTCAATGGCATATACTCTGTAATGACAAGGGAAAGAGGTGTCATGGGCAATTATTTGCTAAGGCTAATACTCTGGGAGCAAGAGTAATGCCATGCCACAGATTAGGGTCTTTCCTTCCAAAATCTAGATATTTACTGTTTCTCCCAAGAGTCCAATGCTATATCTAATATAGAAAGGCTGTTTAGCTGTGACATCTCCAGAAATCTACTTTAAAGATCTTTGCAGCTCGCTTTTCTCATCATGAAAAGGTACAGAACTGATTCCAGCTAATTTTCTTATTCCACATGACAATTCCACATTCTTTATAAAAGGTCAGTTCTTAGGTATTTCTGAATTAATACTGAAGGAGATATAAGGCAGGTGTGTGCTTTTGCTATAGACTTTTTCTAAAATTATGGACTAAATGAGGCCAATGGTGGCATGTTTTAATACTGACATTTCATGTTAAGATGCATGGAAATCAAGGGACAACCACTGATATCATTCCTTAGGAGGCATCCATTTTATTTTTTGAGACAAGTTCCATCCTTGACAAAGAACTCAATGAGCATTCTAGACTGGCGAGGCAGCAAAGTAGAGGACTCCTTTTGTTTCTGCTTCCTCAGCACTGTGATTACAAGTGTACCACTGTGCCTGTCCGTGTTTGTGTTGGACTTGAACTTAGATTCTTTTTTTTAAAATATAAATTATAAACAAAGTTGCTTCACATGTCAATTCCAGATCCCTCTCCCTTTCCCTCCCCTCCTCCCACGCCCTTCCACCAACTCGTCCAATATCCCCTCATTTGCCTATATGGACAAGATGAGCAGTTCATTGGCTGAACTATCTTCCTCACCCCTACAAGTATTTAATATATAAGTGATTATAAGAAAATGATAGGAGCTTAATACACCATTTAGTGAAAAGCTTGTCAGTTTTATATATTCAGGTAGGTAACTGAGATAAATTACTGCATCTGAATTAGACCATGTCACTAGTTGGCTTCCACTTCTTCTTGCATGTAGCAAAACACAAATTACTGGAAATAAATCTCAGTACATGGGGGCAAAGTTAAAATGAACCCCTGACATAGACCATGATGTCCCAACACAGAGGAGGATGTGAAAAACCAGAGCCCTAGAAATTCCCTTGTGCAGTCACCAAAAAAGAGAAGCAGGTTAAAATAACAGTTGATGCCAAGGGTTTAGATGTGTGTGTTTATGTAGCCTTTTCCCTTTGTGAATTTTAAGTTTACACATTTGTACATTTAGGTAAACTCATGATTTTCTTTTTCTTTTTGTTTATTTTTATTATTCTTGTGCATTTGTGATATTGATAAGCCAACAGATGTAGAGGGAAATTGTGAAGGTAAATAATGACACAGAAGACTGTTTCCTAATTGGACCTGTGCTTTCCATCTGATAAAACTGGATAGCAAAGAACATATGGGAATTAATGTGGTTACTTCTCCAAAATTAACCTATAATTTCAGCTCGTATCAGCTAATGTTTTGAGACTTCATTGTAAGTGTGTGATCTGCTTGTGTTAGGTAAAACCCTTCAGCTCCCACATGATTCACTAAAGAACTTCATTGGACTGCATTCTTTAACAATTCATAGATAATCCAAAACAAATGCAAGGCAACCACTGTGTATTTACTTGAAATTTTCCAAAAGCTAAGTTTAGAATGTGTTTGAAATAATGATTACTGATTAAATGTTCTTTTTTATCATAAGGTTCCAGATATGCCACTGTTACATTGATACGGGGATAAATGTGATATTGCTGCCCTTAGAGATTACTAATTTTGTCCTGATTGTCTAGCTCGTTGTCCCTCTTCTCTTATTACTTTATTCAAATGACTATTCCCTTGTAATTGTTAATACTACTTATCCAGTTGACAGAGTTAAGAATCACTGAGGAGATTAATCCCTGCATACGACTTTTAAGAAATTTCTAGATTGAGTTGAGGTTGGAGAACCCACCATAATTTTTGACACTGCTATTCTATATCTTGGGGTCATGGGCTGAATAAAAAAGGAGAATTTGAGCTGCAGATCTGCATTTTTCACTTTTCGATTCCTGACTCTTCATGCAGAATGACAAGCTATCTCATGTTCCTGCCATGTGGGACTACACTGTCAAAATGTAAGCAAGAGTAATCCTCTTTTTCTTAAAGTGTTATTGTCTAGTATTTTGTCAAAGCAACAAGGAAAGTAGCCAATACATCTTTCAAATGATTTGTTTTTAAAATTTCAGAGAGAAATGCAGAGTTTTTAAAATGGTATTAGTTTGCAGATTTTTATGGCTACTATACAAGTGGGGTTGTGTCAACTTATGCCGATAAGTCAAATGTTCACTATGCAATTTTATGTCACAAACTATGAATGTTATTCACAGTTTAAAATGGTGGGAAAATTCTAAAGGAAAAATGATACTTTTGTGTCTGTTAAAATGAATATATATTTCCAAATTCAATATCTTTAGGAAGAGGTGCTGGGCACACTTCAGGTATTTGATTTATGTATTGTCCAAGCATATGTTTGTGCAACAGGAACACCTTGAAGTTCTGGAGCCTATACTGTGTGTTCTCTGTCTTGTAGTGTTTTCTTCGTGCCTTTAATAGAATTCCTTGTTTTCTGTGGATCTTGTTCTAAAATGGTTTATGAACCGAACAGATCAGACGATAATGGCCATCATTCAAGCTAAGACATAGAGGATAAGCCCTAGGTACCAACTTTCAAAAGTATCTTCATGGTGACACAGAATGAGGGATTGTAAAAATGAATGGACACTGATATCACAACACACCTCCTAAGTGAGGACGCTACAGAAGAATGTCACAGCAGCCCATGTTGAAAGACTCTCTGCTTTCATGCCATATGTTCAGATATGACTCGTCATTTTGCATCAGAGTCTCCATCCATGTGATGTCAGAAATACTGTCCACACTCATGGTATCCAGATATATGACATACACCCTTATCAATTAAATGTGCTATTGTGAACAATGGAAATTGTGTGCTTAGGGGCAACTCACACAGTTGATAGCAGTGACTGAATGCTGTGTATTCATCTGTGCTAAAGATGGATTGCAGACACAGAACACAAAATACCAAAGTGTATAACAAGTTCATTTTAGTCCCGAAAACTGAAGAAACAATTTAAAAGAAAAAAATGGCATGAGAAATATCCCTTCAGAGAAAAATTGTTTCTCAATTTAGTGCTTAGAAACAAGTGATTACATTGTGATATGCCCAGAGAGAACCTGCCTATGAGTTTTTATAATGTAGCTGTTTTGTGGAGAAAGGGATTGATTTTATCTTTCCTAACATTTAGTTTTCACAAGAAGTGGGTTTTGAATTTAATAATACTTTATTCAGGGCCCATGAGAATTTTGCAGTAGAATAAAATAAATGCACCATAGCCTTTAGAAGAAAGAAGTGGGCAATTGTAAGGAATTAAAGTAGAGCACAGAATTAAAATCAATAAGGAGAATTAAAGAGATTAAAACTATATTTAACTACAGACTAATTTATATTTAATATAGACTAGTCATCCTTCAAAAATACTTCATAATCACTGACTTATTTAAAGATTCTAATATTCTGTGAAGTAGTTCTTATCATCCATGTGAGCAAGCCGACTGAAAGACTATAAATACATATCTTCTTAAGGTCACACGGCCAATAAGTGGTTGAGAACTGAATTCAGGAGTTGTGCCTGTACAGTTTCCACCTCTAGTCCTGTGTGATGCACTGCCCTGCCGCTCTCTCTATTATTGCTCTCTGCTCTGATAATAAGGCACTATGGCACTGTTTATTCTTGTAAACCGATGGTCATGTTCTCTATTGAGAAACCACAATGTTCTCATATGCCATTTTCTAAGTTTCCAGATTCTGAGACTTGAGTCCCTCAACATATGACCATGGGCACTCACCAAACATTTGTTAAAAACCTGTAACTTAAGAGGTTCTAACAGAGTCAGGTCGGGGTGGTACACACATTTTATCCCAGCACTCTGGAAGCAGAGGCAGGTGGATCTCTATGAGTTTCAGGACAGACAGCCTGGTCACAGTGCAAGTTCCAGGACAGCCAAGACTGTTACACAGAGAAATTCTGTCCTGAAAATAAAACAAAAACAAAAGCAAAACTAAAGAATTTAGTTCTTGTTCTGACCTTCCCTGTTTATTCTCTAATGCTGAACACTCAGCAGCTACTTACGTCAATTAATTTAAAATGTAGATATTTTTCATTTAGTTCTTGTTCTGACCTTCCCTGTTTATTCTCTAATGCTGAACACTCAGCAGCTACTTACGTCAATTAATTTAAAATGTAGATATTTTTCATTTTGAGTGCCTGTCTACCCACATTCAGTTTCAGAGGATCTTTATAATTTGGTTCATTATGTGACCTAAAAACTTTCATTCTGTTCTTAAATCTCTGGGTTTAATATTTACTCTTCAGAGGATCCTCAACTTTCATATGAGAGGGCTGATCTCCAAAATTTACAAATAACTCAAGAAGCAAGTCTCCAAAA